TTTTTAAATGAATCCGTTTGGTTAAATTGGACTGCAAACCCTTACACGTGTTGATCAGCAAACACAAAACATTATCCTAGCCTAACTTGCTAAATGTATGGCAAAAAAAAAAAGTATGGCATCTCTTATTATAACTATTACCTATTTTTTGTTTACTCTCTCAAAGTTTTATTTAATTCATTACATTATTTAGGGTCTTTCCGGTGCTCTGTAATAAGACCGCAAAGACTTTTGGGAGCACCTTAATAACTACAAAAAAAAAAAAAAAAAAAAAAAAGATTAGACCTATTTAAACTATTGTTTATGTATTTCATTATTTTTTCTTCTTTTGTTTACTTGATGCTTTTGATTTTCAGGACTGCTTCAAGCTGGCTAGGGGCCCTTTAAGCTGGTCAGTATTACACGAGTAATACCCTTACTCGTGTAATACTGACGCAACAATCTCCTGATCATGCTTGTCAACTTTCTGGTAAAGCGACAACATGAAGAAGAAATTCTTGGCACCATTTTGGCATGTCGGATGAGATTTGATATGAAACCATGACGGTGCATAGAAGTTCAGTATGAATGAAACAATATGTCGAAGATTATGGGAAGGACACTGTTCGCAAACATACAACCTTAATAAACGGTTGGCTTTAGTTAGCCATCTGGCATGACTGACTACACCAGGTTGAGCAGTTTGCAAGTAGTTAATGTAATTGTTACTGGGATTGTAACCACGTTGAATTAACAGACATATTTTAAGCAGGTACACCTGATCTGTACTCAGGTTATTCATTACGGTCTAATCAACCTCAGCAACGCAACCTGATACAGGAGAGAAATCAATTATAGGTTTATGTTGAGGATCAAATTCCATCACGCATGCTAATTGTCCTTTGGAAGTTCTTGGACCAGTAGACTTCCCACCAATAACATCTATCAGTTTTCTCAAAGGCAATTCGTTTGTATGCAGCATAACCATTGAAGTGGTCTTTGTAGATATTTTTGGATTATGCTATTACTTTTTCCTACATTAACATTGGTTCCATCGCAAACGAGTGCTCTTAATGTTGTTTGTTATTTAGTACTTATAACAACTGATAAAATTTCTTTTGAGATGTCGTCGATGCTGGAACAACATGTTCGACATAGTTTCGATTTGAGAATGAAACCAAAGCATAATGTTCTTCTTTTAACTTACGTCGAGTCGATCCTACACGTGTAAGAGTAACATCAATCTTACCATCAAAACCAAGACAAACAATTTCTTGATTTTCCTCTGCATGACTCACAACTGACTTGTTCCGATATGCAAATCTTTGACGGCGTAGTTTTCTGGGATGTATAGCATTTTCAGGAAAAAGAAATCCGAGGTCTTTCAAGGCAGAATTCACAATTAAACAGGCATCTCGATTGCTACATTTAGAGCAATCAATAGCTTTACACAGTTCTGGATAATGATTTTTGTTTTGTGCACATCTGCTGCCATTACTATCACTGGTCTCCTTGTCTGTTATATCTGAATCGTCTATGGAGCTACAATCAGTGTCTTGACTTTCTGAACTCTTTTCCATATGAACATTATCAAAATCTTGAAAAGTAGAACTGCATTCAACGGTTTTCGTTTTCTCTAGGAACATAGCCGCTTTCCTCTTTCTTTCTTCTGACTTCTGCAGTTTACTTGTCACCACTGGATCGATATTCACCATTTTCTGGTAGTGTTTTGGTCAACCCAGAAATTCCACTCAATAAGAGGAATCTGTCGACTGGACATTTACAATCTGCTCTATTTGCAATTCCAGCTTTAACGCACTTACATGGACAAATGTCAAACAAATTGCTGAAACTTGGCAATACCTTTTGATATGTCTCAGAAGTTCGCTTTGTATCAGGATATTTTCGTAGATCATTCCCTTTGTCAATTAACCGTTTCACCTTTTTCATTACGCTATCGAACGCAATCGTAGGTATGCTAGCTGTGTTATAAATCTCAATCAAGTCTGTCGCGACAGTTCTCACAATGTCATTAATAGATTGGCACTGCTGTTTCTGGTGAAAACAATATGTACAGAAAACGTCTTCACATGTCGGTAGCATATTTTTTTTTCAGTTCTTTCGGTAAACCGAACACTGAGTGTCGACTTGTACTTCTTGTGCTACAGCTAGCCATATCTAACTTGCTACTATCAAGTTGCAACACAAATTAGATCCAAATTCTCAACATCTACGAAACAAATGATATCTAAACTAACATTAATTATTACTACCTACATGTTTCAATAAATACAAGTCATTAATTAGCCATTCAGAATCACAAATAATACAAAACATAATATTGTACTATGGTAAATATTTTACAATATTTCGTTCAAAGTTGCGACCTCTAGACATGGTAATAAAAATTAAAAACAGCAATTTTCTTGATCAGTTGATGGGAGAGCATCAATTTACTATTGTCTGCATGAGGCAACCAAAATTTGCCACACCCTAGTGTACATAGATCAACTGACTAAGCAGGTAGAACATGCAGAAAATGTACAAACATTGACTGACTTAAATAAGTAAAACACGTGGAGAGTGTACATACATCGACTGACTAAATAGGTAGAACATGCAGGGTGTGTACATACATCGACTTACAGTTTCGGTTTGGGCAGGCAATAAGTTAAAAAAATAGTTTGTTTTAAAAAGTGTTTAAAAATAAAGGCAAATAATTATATTGTTATATTCTGGTCATCGATTTACTCAAGACTTCAGACGTCGGAATAGGTTTTTGATTCTAGGTAGATAATAAAATTAAAACAGAAACGATCACAGCGGAAGACTCGGTACAGCGCTACCACTCATTTGAATTTCTGATCACCAATTTCCTTGACTATATAATTTTTCATTAAGTTTGAAATAGAAGGGAGAATATTTTTAACTGTGGTCCTTGACGACATTGTTACCTAGCCTCCGCTTCCACGTGAGCTTCTCTTTAATTTGTGTATCAAACAATTTTTCCTCTTTTGACTTATCTGAATTCTACATGATTATTAAGTGGAACGTCGAACTCTGCTATCAGCAATACTAAATTTACCCCTATTACCTTTGTATTGAAAAGCTTGCTTCCCAATTCTTTTATTGCTGCAAAAATTCGTTTGAATACTTCAATATTTTTTAATAATTGCGGTTGCTTCTTTTCCACCTTTGTTGATTAAAGAGCTTTCAATGTAAGTTGTTTAATCATAATAATAATAAATTTAATAATGTAAGCCTCACATTTTTCTTTGTTGTACAAATCAATAGTGCAATTACAGCGTTATGTGGTTTAGGTTTTTCATAACCTTTGATTCTTTGTTGTATGTGGAAATTTTTTTTTTAAACTATGACTAAAACAAGAATCTTCTGTCAAACATGCAAAACATGCATTACAGTTAAGTGCTACTACTCAACTACCTTCAACTCTTGCGGCTGCCTAACTTATTTGGATTTATAATTAAAAAAAAATTATTGGTAAACTCTTTTTATATTATATCGTAAATGCTTTACATCTGTATGGTTTGGCTGAACCATGTTGTCATTTACTAATGCTGTTTACTATTTAATATAGCACTATTATATAAAACTGTTAACTACCAATTTTCACATCTTCCGATTTAAAAAATGTGAAAAAAATGTCTAAACAATACTGTTGAAATTCTTACAGTGAAACCTAGTGAGTTGGAGAATCGGAATTGTTCATTAGGCTGTTTATATAAAGTCCTTATTACATTTAATAATAGTGCATGCAACTCTAAATTTATTACCCTCTGTTTTAAACCAAAGTTCTCAGAACATAGGCATGTAAACACCAAAAAATTTAAAAAAAAAAATGAAAATGAAAAATATAAAGAAAGTTATTGTTCATAAAAATTCATTAAAAAAGGCCTTTTTTTAAATGGATTTTTATGAACAATTAGCTTCATATTAGCTCTTAACTATTTGTTTTTTAAGTGTCTTGGCAATAGGAATGGGAAGATATCTCTCCATGATTTTTCACTAAGTATGAAAATAAAATCTTGCATTTTAACTAATAATGAAGAGTGTAATAGAAATAAAGAAATATTCAAAATATCTCTTTATTACCCAGACAATCAAGAAAAAAATAACAAGTGCAAGTCTCCAAAAAAAAAAAAAAAAAATCAAGAAATAAATAAAAAAAAACCCCAAAGATCTTATGAGTCTGCTTAACTTAAGTTATTTAGAAACCCGTCAAATTAGCAGAATCTGATACAGGCGTACCAAGTTGTTACCAAGATAGACATTGTCTCATGAAGTAAACCTCATTTCCCTTGAGATGGGGTGTCAAACCCAATAAAAATTAGAGAACATTATCTTAAGCTAGCTAGAGAATTTAGACAAAATTGCCAACAAATGCATTAGTTTTCCCCATAAAAAATGCAATAATTTGTCATGTAAATTAAGACTTTAAGATTGATTTTTCTTATATATTTTAAGATAAGATATTAAAAATAATTTTCTGTGTAAATTGTTAACACAACAGATACTATCTGGTGTATTAACAATTCGAAACACAAGTCAGTTATGAAAAATTGTTAATCAAAATATTAGCCTATGTTTATATCTAAAAAGGGACACTCAAAAAAGCACTTGTTCCACTTGGTTAACCGTCCTTTGGATGATCCAAAATAAGATTTTGAAATCTTGTTTTTAAAATTCATCATCTCCTTTTAAATCACCTTTTGTAAAATATGATCAAAGTACTTTTTAAAAAGTGTTATGTTATATTTATCAAGCGCTTACAAATGACAAGTAATTGCTAACCATATCTTTAGGGAAAAAAAAAATATTTTATTGAAAATTTTATTTATTGTTTCTTGTTCTATCAAATGGAACTATAATTTAAAAAAACACGTCATTTTTGCGTTTCATATTTTTATATTTTTTTCTTGAACATTGAAAAGTTCCTACATATAAATTGATGTTCCCATATTAAAAAGTTTTAGTTTTTTCAAAAGTTAAAGTTTTTTCAGGAAGTTGTACTGGATGCATTTTAACTAATAATGAAAAGTGTTTTTATCTAAATACAAATGATGGAATTTGCATCTGTGGAAATGGTTACATCTTAAAAAATGACCAATGTGCAGGTAATTTTAGATAACAGTAATCAATTTCAAAAGTATAAATGTTTATAAGTTATTATATTGTTATTTTTTTTTTTAATTTTTAATTGTTAAATTCACCTCAAAAGACTCCAATAAGAGACTTTTAGAATGACTATATTGCAATCGAGACTACTCATATATTCTTTCATTTTAATTTTTTTACTTGTAACTATTAACCCTTAGCTATAAATCTTGTTAAACAAGACTGCTGCATAGAAAATAGGATGAGCATGGTACTTTTAGATGTATATGGTGGGTTTGAACATTGATCCACGTGTTATTGTGATGTTTGCAGCTGAAAAAGATTAAATAATTGGTGAAAATAAATAAAAAGTGAAAAACATATGATAAATATAAACAGAATATACTTTATATATTGTTTATATTTTATTAATATCTTCCTGTTTACTTATAAAAGCAGTTATTTAAATTGGTTTTTTAGTGTTTTTGAGAAATGGTTTTTAGTCTCAATACTTTTAATGGTTGTCATTCTAACTGATCGTTTTTTTTAATACATTGTCATTATATTTAATTTTAGAATTAAAATTTAACTTCTTTTTGTGGAGTTAGTAAGAAATATAAACTTTAAAATTTTATTGGTTAAACAATTTCTAAGCTCTAGAGCGAAATTTAAAAAGTAATAATAATTGAGACAAAAATTGGATCAACGATTGGAAAAAAGTTTAAATTTTAACTCATTTAATTATATACTTTTCCTAAAATGCGACTTTAAATATAAGTTAAATGACTAATTTATAAAATAATACATAACAATTTACTTAAAAAGAGATTTATCTAAATTGTCATAAATTTTTAAATTATTTAAAATTGTCAGAATGTCAGGAAAAAAACCATATGTATAAACATATAAACCTTTTAAATCTTTACAAAGATATTGTGTTCTAAAAACATGATGTTGTGGTTTTAATAATCATATTTTAAATTTTTTTTTAATAATTTTTTTATTGTTATATATTATATACAAGTTATTTGAAATTAATCTCACACCACCACCAATGGTTGTAAGAGAAAATGTCTCTAATTTCAAAAAATAATAATGAAAAAAGTAAATATCTATATAAATAAATTAATTAAATTATGATAAAAAGTCTAATTAAGTTTTTTTTTGTAACTGACTAGTGATACTTTAAAAATCTAAATACTAAATTTCTTGGTATGCAAATAATTTTATTTTTTACTGTATTTACCTCCCCAATGCTGAGAAGGCTAGGATACAAGAACAGATTCGAGATTTATAGAGTTGTAGAATAGAATTCGGATTAAGAAAGTGACAAGCACTATAAAAAAATATGACCTTATCAAATGCTAATTTTTCAATGGATTTGATTTATGGTTTCCAAGAAAGATTGGAAGTAAGAATTAATCCTAGAAGACAATAGGTTGATAACTCATCAAGTATTTATTCGTTAGTATTATCAGTTAGTATTTTGTAAGGAGCATGTCGGTCTAAGATTTCATCAATTCTTTTTAAAATGAAATTCATGGATTTATTAAAATCACCATCTTTTTTAATGGAGAGTTCCCAGTTGATATCAGAAATTTCGTCAATAAATATACTTTTATTAAACTTTTTAAAGCATTGCCTGTAAGTATTTACTTTTTTGGGGTGGTTGAGTATGCCAGGAATGCAAATAAATTGTGTCATTTGATCTGAAATTGAAATTGTTACCTGAGTATTGATCAGTTGAATAAAAGTTTGCGAGTATGTTATCATGAGCATTTTTGATGTAGCATGCATGCCAAGTATGGGGGCAGTCCCATCAATAAGCTCTTATTAGGTTATCCCACCTCCAAAATAAGGCTTGAAAAATTATTTGTGCTCTGCCTAATATTTAAAGTATCAAAACTATGTTACTATATTCAACTTTTAAACTGTCAATTTGTCTGGAACCATAAACACAATATTTTACCTTTAACTTTCATCAATTTCTTTTCATAATTTATGGATAAAGGGATCATCCATAAATTATGTCATGCAATTTTTAGCTGTTTTTGACTCCTCCCCCTCCTTACAACATCGTAACACTTTTCAAACAAGTTGCATATGAGTTATCATAAAACCACTAACAAAGTAATGTTGACCTGTCTAACAGGTCATTCCATGTCAATTGACCCAGGCCATGTCACCATACATCTCAGGTTTTGCTGATTTTTATACAGTTGAGAGTACTTAGTAAAATAAGAATTCCTTCAAAATTTTAGCCTCCAAAAATTAGCCTTCAAAATTTTAACTCCAAGAAGATCCTGAAATATGGCCGATTTACTTTTAACAGATTTTGACCAGGTCCCTCTTGTCCCTTTAGTATTGCAATATTAAGTTAGAGGTTTTAAGTCACATAACTTTGAAAATATTTAATCTTTTTACTTAAAAATTTGTACTTCGCTATTTTCTGGGGTGACAAATCTAATAAAATGATAAAAAAAGATAAAAAAGTTTTATTAAGTACCTGTATTTATCAATTTAAATCAATTTAAGCAATTTTTATATATCTGTTTTTAATTCCCAAGAAATTCATGCAGCTTTGTTGCTATCAAAAAAAATTTTACACATTCTATATTTATTGATATTTCAGAAAACATAAGAATATTGATCTACAAGTATACAGATTTATATATAGAGAGAATGGAACACGGTCCCCACTTTTTTATAGCAAATATTGCAATTGATTTTTCTCTTCCTTCCAGAGCTGGAGCTCTGAAATTTTTGGGATTTCTGAAGCACTGATAAACATGCATATTAAAATTGTCTCCAGAGCTTAAGACACCAGGGGGGGGGGGGGCTAGGTCTGTTTTCCAAACAAACTGGAGCTCTGAAAATTTCAGCATTTGTGTAGTCCTGGTGAATGTGTGTTAAAAATTTTTCCAGGGTAGACAACTAGAAGGTCCATGGGGCCAGGGCATTTGGGGCCATACTCCACTTAATTCCTTTATAAAACAATTTTTTTTTCCCATTTTAGCAAAGCAAAGATAACTTTGAAAATATTGTCTTAAAATTTTTTTGGTTTATACTTGTTTAAAATTAATAATGCGTTTTATAATAGGATTATTAAAAAAGTAAATATATATAGTAAAAATCTTGTTTAATGTTACATTAGTCAGCAACATTTTTAGGCCAAATTTGATACTGGTATAAAGGTATGGGCTCCCAAACTTCTGCCTAAACTCTATTTAAAAAAATTTTTTAATTAGCACCAAGTTTGCCATAAAAAAATTAAAATAAAACAATTCTTTAGTAGTAATTTTCTTGCTGTTTTGTTATAATAAAAATTGTTTTTATAATTACAAAATTGTTAGAAAAAGCAAGCAATTTTCAAAACAGATTGTAAATGTATTTTAAGTCTATCAGAATGCTTAATTCAAATTCTCAAGGATGAAATATGTAATATGTTACAATTGGGTTAAAATGTAAAGCACATGTTTTGATTAGATTAAAGTATAAAACCTCTAGCTTTTATATTTTTATTATTCCTTTCATGAAAACATCAACTTGTTTTAAAGTATGCCTTATTATAAGTTTCTGCTATGCTTGCGTTTTCATAACTATAATTTACAAATCAAACTCTTTAAGCTTTAAAAATTGCATTAAAAATTGTAAAACTACAGTAAAAATGTAAATAAACAGTTTTAAATCATAGATAAATAAATAAAAGTTTTTAAAAATGTAATAACATTATAATAATCTTAGTAGCCAAAAAACTTGATTTATAAAGTAATAGGAAAACAGCAACAAAAAAGTTATTAACTTTTGAATGAATTAATGACCTTGCTATGCAATAAATATGCTATGTAATAAATCATTTTAGTCTTTTTAAAAGAAATTATTCCTTGCACATATTGAGATATAAAATGTGCAATATTTTATATCTCAATATAAGCAATAACATTTCAAATGAAATATCTATATAATTAATAAATATGAAATATTCTTTTTGTAAGTCTACAAAATTAGTTTATTTAATTGTTTAAAAAATGATTTTATTATAAACTTTAATAGATATAGATGAGTGTGCTGATGGAAGTAATGATTGCTATGGTAACCAAATTAGTTGTATAAATACATTAGGGAGTTACAACTGTTCTTGTAATAACAAATGTTTGGTTGTTGTATCTAATACTGAAGGACAATGGTGCATGGGTATGTTTTAAAATAAAAATAATATATTTGAATAAATAAAAAAAAGTATTATAAATAATAGTAATGGCTTTTTTAATATGAAATTTCAGAAGATTTAATGACAAAAGGGTAAAGAGATTTACTTTGATAAAAGAGTAAGACAAACAAGGCGGCTTTGCAAAGAAACAAGTCAAATGCGGTACTACCATGGGCGTGGTGGGGATCAAACTTGGAATCACTTGCTTATGAGGCAAATGCTCTACCAAATGCACTACCAAATGCACCGCTACCGCATACTATATATATATAGTATGTGGTAGCATATTATATATTTATATATATAGTATATCAAAACTCATGTATTAATTTATGATTATGCTTGACTATTTTATGATGATTATTTTTAATGATGATTGTAATTAGAAGTATTGTAGTGGGAGTTTTAATTTTGCATGTATATATATATATATATATATATATATATATATATATATATATATATATATATATATATATATATATATATATATATTAGAGTGCCACTAAAAACAACTTTTTTTGAAATTGTCTGCTGCCACCCCCTAAATGTGTTCTATGTAATAAATTAACACTAAATTTAAAAAATTTTTGAATAAAAAAATATTTTAGCGGTTAATCAACACCCTTAAATATCAAACGGGTCCCTGATATTTAAAAAATAAAAGTTCTTCAAAAGTATATCATGTTGGGTCTCAAAAGAAGTGAAATTTTATGAAAATTTCAAAAATAATAAAAACAATTTATAGAAACCAAATTAAAAAAGTTTATTTAAAAAAAAACTTTAAAAACATGTACTTTTTATTTTTTGTTAAAAAATGATAGTTTTTAAGCCATAAAATTTAAACTAGTAATATTTATATCAAATATTTATTATTTTTGAAATTTTTATAAAATTTCACTTATTTTGAGACTCAACATAATATACTTTTGAAAATTTTTTTTTTTCAAAATATTAGGGACTCGTTTGATGTTTAAGGGAGCAACCCCTAAAAAATTTTTTTATCTAAAATTTTTTCTAATTCAGTGTTAATTTATTACATAGAAAACATTTTGGGGGTGGCAGCAGACAATTTTAAAAAATTTGTTTTCAGTGACACTATAATATATATATATATATATATATATATATATATATATATATATATATATATATATATATATATATATATATATATATATATATATATATATATATATATATATATATATATATATATATATATATATATATACATATATGTATAAATATATACATATATGTATATATATATAAATACATATATGTATATATATATACATACACACAAAGTTAAAACTCCCACTATAATACTTCTAATTACAATTATCATTAAAAATAATCATCATAAAATAGTCAAGCAGTAATCATAAATTAATACACGAGTTTCAATACAATTCTCTATGGTATCAACATGTACAATTATAATTCACCAACTTTACTTTAGAACATGCCCTCTTAATTAATCAATTAACTAGTCTACTCTTTGTGGGGGTCTTGCTATTTGTCTGAAATGTTTAACTTGCTGTTTATTATGTTTCTGATAATTATTAAAATTTAAAATTTTCTGTTTTATTTTCAAAATAAACAGTATGAACAGTATAAGCAGGCAACTTTTCCATTATTTTGTGTATGCGTTTAAGTATGCGGTTACCTTGAGCTTGATAGGCTGCTTGATATTCAAAATTAACATGCCATTCTTCAGCATAATGTGTTAACATGTTGGATCAAATTTTGTTGTCCATTAGAAGACAAACTGGCAATCCAAATAAAAGGAATATTTCTTCAAGCTTTTCCAAAACTTCAGTTGTTTTGGTTACCATAGCGTGAGTGACCAAAGTCAATCATCGATAAGTACAGTTCTGTGTCTACATGCATTGCATCAGTAGCATCCCAATTCTGTTCTATGCTTAGTTGGTTTTGCTTCCATTTTATGGAGTAATGATCAATGCAGTTGCATTGGTTACAATTTGCTATTGCAACTGAAACCTCCTTATGTGATACATTCTGGTTATTTCGCAAACAAAGTTGCAATGTTTAAATGTCACCAAGATGACCAAGTGAATGAACTTTCTATATGTCTTTTTATTTAAGTAACACATGATACTTAATTTAATTTTATAATTAAATTAATAAATAATTTATAATAAGATTGCAAATTTCATATAATTTGACACTCAAAAGATACAGCCATAATGAAAGTGTGAAACCCTTTCTTTTTTGAACCTTTTTGACATTTAAAAAAAAAGAGTTCCAAAAATGAAAAAAGATGTAATTTTTATTTTAAATTTTCTTACTTCAACCTAAAGGAAAGAATTGTTTGTGTATACTGTTAATACATACCGTGATCCCACTTACTAGTTAATGAGGGATTTACATTCACCTTATATACATTTATTTATCTTTTTTGTTTTTTTCTGCTTTTAATCGATGATTGATAAAAAGAGCTCAAAGATGAAAAATATACAACTAACATTTTTTTAAATTAAATTTTTTTGCATTTTGATGATTTTTATCCAGCAGCAGTCTTTTTTGTTAGGACAGCACTTTCTGTGCTTAAGCTTTTTCCTGCTTGCCCACACGGCGACAAAAACTTTGCCATCCACAAGGCCACAAAAATTTTGTCAACCACATAAAAAGTGCTTGCCAAAAAAATAAAAGGTTTTATTATTATTTTTTTTAAATTGGAAGAAATCTACTTTAAATTGGAAGAAATCTACTGTTGCAGATATGTCTGGATCAGTTTCACTATTTTGATTATCAAATAACTCAGCATCCATGGCTTGATACATATTAAAGATCTGCTCATTAGTTTCTTTCTTTTGCTTTCTTTTTCCTCTGGCAACTGTATTTTTATTTTAATTTAAATAGCAAATACAGATAAATTTTTAAAATTGCGCATGCCAGCCTATAAATGACCATCTGGCTTTTGCTTTCTGTGCGCAAACATTAAATTTTTAATGGGGAAGACTGCTACTTGTAAACTTAAACTATTATTTTTGCAAATGGGTTTGAGTTTACTAGTAAATGTTGTTGATAAAAAATATTAATTGTACCAATTTGAAATCTTTCTGTAGCTTCATTTTTTCAATTTTTGATCTTTTTAATGTTTGCCATCCAAAGCAAACACAACAAAAATAGTTTTTAAACAAATAAATAAAATTTGAAACAAATTTTCTAAAAAGCTCTTTTAATATCTCTCATATATATTATGTTATTAGCTCTAATAAAAAAAAAAAAAAAAAAAGAATTAATCACGCTAGAGAATCAAAAAACCAACAAAAAACTAGTTTTAAGAGTCAAATAAAACTCTTTTTTTTTAAATTTAACCAAGAACATAACACTGATAATGACATTGAATTTGATAGATTTTTGTTTATTATAGTTTATTTTTGTAGTAACAAATTTTATTATATAACATACCTAGAAATCCAGACAAAACTAAAAAACTTATAACTTTGAAACTAAAAGTGCAATTTTGTTTCTGTAAAAAGATAATTAAAGTTAAGCATATGAAGCTTCAGATTTAAAAAAATTATAAGTTTATCATGCCATGTCTGCGAACTTTATCCACTTGGCTGAAAGAAGCCTTGCCAAGTCGATGTACACGATCTTGACTAATCCGTTTTATGCAGTAGCTGATCCTGTAAATGAGCTGGTCCACGGTATTTGCTCTCCAGCCACGATCATATACTCTTCGCTTGAGTTCTGACCAAAAGTCTTCGATTGGTCTGAGTTCTGGCACATTGGCAGGGTTGCGCTCCTTAGGCAGGAATTCGATGTTATTCGCTTGGAGGAACTCCTGCATCTTCTTTGCGTAATGAGACGTAGCAAGGTCAGGCCAGAAAACGATCTCGTCGTTCTTATGGACTGTTTCAATGAATTGAATCAAGAGCTTCATCAAGCACTTCTGGATGTAGACATCTTGATTGATCGCTTGGCCCGAAGGTGTCACCAGGTGCTTCGACAGGCCGTCCTGGGACATAACAATCCAAACAAGTACCTTTGGCTCGAACTTGGACTTGCGCTTGAGTTTAACAGCTTCTGGAGTCATTTCGACGTCAGACGTGTAGAAACCAGCGATTCCAGATAGCTTGTTATTGCTCAACAAAAAATAGGACTCGTCGTCGATGATCATCTTCTTTTTCCGGAAACCCTGGCCTAGTGGGCACACTTCGGACAAACGGCTGACTTCTGTTGCGGAGTTCGATCCAGAACTTTTTTCTTCTTTTTGTATTTGATTGTTGTCTTGGTGCTAATTGTTTTTGATATGTGCTTTTGGCTGACACCATACTCACGGGCTAGCTGACGCTGGCTAACTCTGTCACTATGATCGATTCGCTTTTTCAGCATGGTGATTTGCTTTGTGTTCATCTTGATTGGCACCCGTCCAGTTCCACGCTGTCTTTCAGGACCTATTTTGAGCATCTTGCACTGCAGAAAATCATACAGGGTTGACCTTGATGCGCCTTTGATCATGAAGTGTCTCACAATCTCACTTTTCTTCATATCCGGATGCAAATCGATTAACGTGTACACGCGCTTTCTGAGGTCTTCCTGTTTTGAGATAATTTTCTTTGTCATTATAAGTAATTGTTTGCTAAAAGATATATTGCAATTTGTAGAGAATTAAATTTACTACAGCATAGCATTAGTTGCAACAATTTTGCAACACTCCTTAAACAATTTATGTCGACCGAACTTTTGTCCGTATTTCTAGGTATAACATGTTATATATATATATATATATATATATATATATATATATGTATATATATATATATATATATATATGTATATATATATATATATATATATATGTATATATATATATATATATATATGTATGTATATACATATATATATATATATATATATATATATATATATATATATATATATATATATATATATATATATATATATATATATATATATATATATATATATATATATATATATATTTGAAAATAATTTGATTCTGCTAACGATGTACTGAAAAAACAAGATATTACTGAAATAACCAGTGGTTATCTTAGTGTGCTGGTTAATTCGGTACACCATGGAAAACTTAAGCAGTCATAAAAAAAACTACAGTTATATAATAGATATTTTATTTTTAAGTAATGTTTGCAATGTTATCATAAGTATGTTTAACAGTTAGTTTAACAGTATTATTTTTTTTTTTTTGTTTAAAATTATCTATGATTTATATAAAGTAAATGAAAGTTTTCCGTAACATCTAAAAAATTCACTACTCATAATACTCCTCTAGTTTTAAAGTAACTGAGTTTACTTTGTGAAGAATTCGAGTAAACTTTTATACTTTTCAGATATCTTCAGAACCAATCATGAAAAAAGATAAAATTTTAAATATAGGTTTCTGAAAAGCAATAGGATAGTAAAAAACAAAATAACTTTATGAGAGTCTCTTAAATTCTTTTTTAGAGAGAGCATGATTCTTTTTTAAGATTCAATAAAATTTTATTTAACTTTTTTTTAGTTTAACTTTAAAATTATCTTTTAATTAATTAAAGCTAGTGTCCTAATAGTATTAATTGCTTTTTAGTGATAACATAAATTTAATATTTAAAAACACTTGTGTTTTAGAAAAAAATACTTCAGATGATACCTGTAAACCTACTTTAAACGTGAATTTTGTTGGATCTTTGGAAGGGTATTATTTTTTTTCAAATTTTTTATTTAACTATGGTATCAAGGTTTTTTAATATAGTTTTTTTTAACTTTTTTTAGGAGGTTGTCAGGTGTAACTCTGAGTAACTTGAGTAGTTAAAAGATATTTAGTTATTTTTTTGAGTCACTGCTTGTTAGAGTTCTAAATAAAATCAAAGTTTTTTTGTTTTAATCTTTTTTTTTAATATTTAGTATCAGTAATATAAATGTAAACCCCCAATAACTCAACCAATAATATTGTTGACTTTCTGTTGAAATTTTATTGATACTTTCTTATGAAAATCAGTTTTTAATTTGAACCCCAGTTAATTTGAACATTTTCTAGTCGAATATTTTGATTCTTCATACTTGAATTGCTTCAATTTGAAACTCTTTTTTTTCTTTAAAGTAGTTTGAGATATTATGAAGACCTTGTATTGTTATGTCAACATTATTTGAATGTTTGGTTTTGATATTTAAATTGAATCATAGCATATTCTAATATGCAAATAATTATTGCTGTGTTTACACTTTACAATGGTTATCCTTGCAGCAAATAGAAAACTTAACACAAAAAAATAAAAAAAAAAATATAGAAAAAAAAAATCTTAAATTTTTTTTTAATTGTTTGGAGTAAAAATGTAAAAGTTAATTAAAGAAAGAACACTTGCAAATTTTGATTTAAATTTGTAAATTTCTATTATCTAATTTTTAGTGACCATAAGTAATAGGAACAAAGTTAGCATTCTGAAAACAAAAGCTTACTTGACAGAAAGAGAAAACTTGAAGAAAAAGATCAATATCAAAAGTGTGATGGTTGGTGTGGTTGTTGGTAAACTACAGTTGACAAGTTTTCTCTTTTTTTTTAAAAAAAAAGAAAAAACTGTGATTTAACTAACCCTTGAAAAACTCTCCAAAGTCTAGATAAAATTACTTTAAAGAAAAACAAATAATTAAGAAACACTACCATTTTTGATTGATTTGCCAAAGCATAACTTTTGAAAGACTAACAGAATTCTATTTAATTAACATAATTTAAATCTATGTTAACAGAATTTAAATTAACAGAATTTAAAAATATCTACATAGTTAAATGACCCCTTTAAGGTTTTTGAAATCAAATAGAATAACTGATTTGAAAAAGGTTGAAGACGTAATTTCTGCTCATAAAAATGTAATGAAAGCAGTACCTTTACTAACATATAAATAGCTGATAGAAGATATTTAATATATATAATAATATTATTAGAAGAGCTAATGAATTATATAGATAATATTGATGACAAGAATGATAATCACAATATTATCATGAACCCAGTTTGTACTAAACTTAGTAAACTAATATTCAGGAGGCATTGTAAGTGCATGAAAAAATACTTTTCACTCTTGACAATGAAGATGTGCAACAAAAGCCCAATAAATGCAATTCAATCTACAGAGACATTGCTAAACTGACAAAAAGTGACATTTTTTCCTGACATTTTATTTAGGCATCCCAGACAAGCAGGTCAACCTTGACCTCGGCTTTTGTTGCTAAAGTTATTTTTCACTTCTGTGGTTCAGACAACATTCCATTCACAGTCAAAAATACTTCCCAGAATTCTTTTCAATATTCTATTAAGCTTATTATTATTTACAAATTATTAACAAGTGCCTGACTGAATTTTTTTTTCCTGCTTGAAAATTAAAATAATAACTAGCAAATGACATCTGTGACTATTAAAATCTCTGGAGATTAGTCCAACCCTACCAACTATTGTCTGATCTTATTATTATGTAGCATGATTTTTGAGTCTCTAATCTTGAGACCAACTTACACAAAGCTTACACCTAAGCATTCAATCCTTTCAATCCTTTTGTTCCTGATTTGTTTGTGGTACTAGATTTAAATGTGCAGTAGATGTAAGTGGCGAGTCAATGGTCATTGTGATATATCAAATGTTGCCTCATTAATTCAAACTTTTTTTTTTGTCCAGTGGAGGTTAAAGTTATTAGGAGTGTACTGTATATTTATTAAATAGCAAATTATTTTTTTAACAATTTTTTTGTGATACTAGATTTAAATGTGTAGTAGATGTAAGTAATGAGTGAATGGTCATTGTGACATCAAATGTTGCCTCATTAACTCAAATTTTTTTTGTCTAATGGCAGTTCATGCTATTAGGAGTGTACTGTATATTTTTTAAATAGCAAATTATTTTTTTAACAATTTTTTTTTTATACTTAGAAAATCATTATCATTAAAGTTGGATATCTATTTTATGTATAACTTTTCGGTGGATGCTCAAAATGTTATCATTGAATACTTTCTACCTTCCTTTATATCAGTGTCTGCTGAAATCATCCCTTTTGGATTTACAAGTATCAGTCAGTTAAAATACATGGTGAGTTTTAGTAACATTTTATTTAAAAATCCAGTAGATATTTTTATTTAAAAAAATTAAGTCTTTATTTTATAATTCACACAATTTTTTATTTTAAAAAGTTATTTAATGATAAAACTGCAAATGAATTTAAAAAACAGGTGTTCATTTTGGTGTTGTACTTTTATATTTTTTTATGTACATTTATGTATTTATATGAATGTATATTAAACAAATTCATCACCAATAAGGCTGCAAGCACTTGTTAAGGCTGGAAGCACTAGTTATGGCTGAAAGCACTCAAGTAGGAAGTTAACAGATGAAGAAGTAAAGAAGAAGAAAAAAATAAAGAAAGGCATTGACAAGTAAGAAAAATAGAAGACTTAAACAACTGCAAATTATGAGTCAGGAAAACATGAAGACATTAGATAATTCCAAACTACCAATATGTAGAGAAAATAAAGCTAAATAACAAAAAAAAAATTAAAAATAAAGGAACAGTTACAGTTAAAGGATACTACTTAACAGATTAATAAGTTTGATAGAACAAGTGATGGTAGCTCACTTGATCAGCAAAGAGGTACAATCGTGCAAAAATGGGGCAGAAGATTGGATTGAATAGTAGAAAATTGTCTATTTTACATTTATTTTTGTTCTGGAAAAAAAAAAATTCATTTAAGAGGTAATACTTGTACATATTGGTCATTTAAAGACAAATAAAGTTGAAAATCACATAAAAATTACATTTTAATGTGATTTTAATCTGATTTTAGACATAATGAGATTTTTAAACAATAATTGAAATATTATGTCTTTGATGAGTAAAGTCAGATAGTCTTGATTTAAATATGTTGTTTTGCAATAATTTGTCTTTGTTTTTGTGGCATTAATTCTCTATTCAAATAATTGTTTTTATGAAAAATTGTTTTTATGAAAAATTGTTTTTATGAAAAAAAAAAAAAAGACCCTTACACTTTATACTTTTCAAATTTCTTAAAATGTATAATGGCCGATGATGATGATGATGATGGGTTTCCTCGTAAATCTGCAAGGACTAGAAATGGTCAGAGTACTGTAAGAGAGAAAAATGAGGAAAGCTCTTTGGTTACTACACGTTTCAGAAGTCCTCCTCCAATGAGATATACCTTTCCTAAGACTAGTAGAGATTGTGAACCAGGAACCTCAAGTACATCCTTTAACATAAGTTTAGCTCCACAGAGAACTAATAGTTGTAAAAGAACAATCTACATACTTCAGTATCCACTACATATGTTTGCACCAAACATGTATTATTTTAAAATTTAATAAAAATAATGAATTGGAAAAGCTTTTTTTAGGTAAAAAACTTTTGAAACAAATATGTAAAGACTTTTTTTTGAATTTTTTTGAGACTACCCACACTGGGAGAAGTTTGTTGTAGAATATATTGGCTCAGACCAAGTAAGAATAATGCAAAACTATCCTGTGCACAAATGTAAAGATCTATGCTTTGCATTGGAGGGGAGTGTACAAAAAGTAACAGGGGAGAATTAAATGGAGCATGCATTTTGAGAGAACTGTTAAGTCTTTGGGACAAGGGTGGATTTGATTCAAGATTTTGGGTTACAGAACAAGTAGTGAAGAAACTTGAGAAATCTTATGAACGCTACAAGAAACTGTCTTAGAACCCTTATGGAAATAAACAAGATCAAAGAAGAGCAATATAAAACAAAAACAGAGAGTTTTATAAAAGAACTGTATTTTTCCTGTTTATAAAACATACGTCTTAAAACTTATAAGAGATGACGAAAATAGAGACAAGCAAGCAAAGACAGAAGATATTGAGTTCCTGAAGAGAGCATTCAAAGGAGAAATGGTCAAGTTTGACACTGGGAAAGATAAATCTTATCAAGAAAAAATCATAGGCGGGGAAAAACAAATGTTAGACATGGTAGAAAGTATGTGTAGAGAAAAACAACATTAAAAAAAAAAAACAAGATTATTATTTTTTTTTTTTCCAAAACAAAAATAAATGTAAAATAGACAATTATCTACTATTCAATCCATAAATTAGGGGCACCGAGAGGAAGGGGACAAATAATTTCATGCAACCTAGCATATAAAAATACCTTGTACTGGACCCCCTTGACTTTGAGACCTAAAATTTTTTTTGGTGGGTTCTGGGACCAAATAAGAATGATTGAGATAGGGTGCATGTGAAATTTTTTTGGTCAGGTTAAAAGTGGGACACCCTAACTGTGAGCCATAAACTGTCATTGAAGAGAACCAGCATGCCAGACTTTGTTAAAAGTTTTTGATATGTCTTGACATATTAAAAACTCTTGACATATCAAAAGCTCTAGCCTCTAACTATAGCACAGTAGCACCTTTCTGTTATTAAAGTTGACAGCTATCGAATGAGAGGATTAAAATTCGATTGTCAGAGAGTAAGTTGGCTCAAGATGAGGTAATAGAAGTAAACTTTTGGTAATAGAAGTTTGTAAATTAAAAACTAGAAGACCTTGTTAATAACATAAAAGAAAAATAGTAGAAAGAAGACTGGCTGACCGGTAGTTCAGTCAGTCTTCTTTCTATTATTATTCAGGTAGGTATTTCTATTATCATTAAGGTAAGTTATCGTGTTCTCTAGAACTTTTAAAATTGTAACCACAGATACCACTTTTCAGCAGGTATAAAAAAAAAAAGGTTCAGTTAAATACTTAAATAGTTTAGAGAGATTGATGTTAATAGGCCTGGAGAACCTTTTTGGTTAGACAAGAATGTTGTCTGGACCACAAGTTGTAGATTAAGTGAGAAATAACTTAAGTAACAGAGACAGGAGTTGTTTGGATGTCCAACAGTTGATTAACTTGTTTCATTGAGATGACAGAAAGAGTGTGTTCATTAGATTCAAAAGATGAATTCAAGGAAAATTCTTTTAATAGTTCTTCCTTTTCCTTGGGTGAGTTAATAAGATCTGACACATGTAGGAGAGAGTAAACTTGCATTTGTTAATGACATCAATAAAGATTTTGTAAAAGCCTCTAGAGCCTAATTTTTGAGTAAAAGATTGAGTAGTTTGATCATAGCACAATCTTAAACACCAATAGAAGAACAAGGAGAAACCGAGCACAAACTAGGGTCTAAGATAAGACACAATTCAAGAAGTGAAAGTGATTAAGGTTGTCTTTTAAACAAGTCACAAAGTTAAGTATCTTAGTAAAAGGTTAATACAAAAATTATGAGTTTTAGTGCTAGCAGGGTCAATGGTGCTACAGCCAATTTGTTTAGCATGCTGGGCATTTAAGTCACCAATAACAGCAATAATGGCTGAACAATTTATCTTGAGGAAAGATTTTGATTCACCAATAATAGCAATATTGGCTATTATTGGTGAATATTGAGCATAAATCACTAATAATAGCAATATTGGCTGAACAATAAAGGGAAAGATTTTGGTTGATTCGATCAGAAACAACATTTAAAAAAGTACATCTTGGGATTAAGAAGTATGATAAAACACAAAAAGAAATGTTATACACTGAAGAGCTAAGATTATCTTTTTTTGGATATCCGAAATTTCAGATTAAACTAAAAAAGACTAAAAATTTTTTTTTTTTAAAAAATACTAAAAATTTCTATTTTTTTTAGATTTTCAAAAATTTTTTCATATTTTTCCAATATACTAGTGGAAATAATAGTATACTTTAAAAAAAAAAAAAATCAGTTGTTACACATACAAAAATTAAAACAAGTTTAAAAAAAATTGAGGAATCTATCAGTTTTAAACTAAATTATGAAAATATAACCTATATTAATTCTGGATTTTTTTTTTTAAATGTTTTTTGGATTTTTAAAATATGACTTGTGCGATCACTGGTAAAAAGATGCACACAAATGAATAAGCAGAGATTTGTTATTATTGTTTTTTTATTCTGATTCACTCCCAAGAAGCAGCCACTCAAGTTTAGAGTTACTAGAAAAAAAAGATAGAGTTATAGAGCAAGGAAACGGTTGATAGAAGATTTAAAAAGTTGATGTTTGTGTGAGTCAGGAAAACATGAAGATATGAGAGAGTTCCAAAAGGTTGAAGTGCGGGGAAAAAATCTAGATACAGGGACAGATACAGTAAAATAATGAGACTTTAATGACGAGTCAAGCGAGAATGAGTTTTACTTGATCGAACTAGAGATAATAGCTCCTTTGAGCAGCGATCATGATATCAAGGCGCAACTTTACGACAATGGGAAAGAGGCTCAAGCTTAGCAGATAGAGCGAGTCCAACTATGTTTACAATGCGTTTTTGGACCTTGTCTAGAAGAGAAAGAGCATCATTAGAAGAACTAGCTCAAATATGACAACAGTACAAAAACTTAAAACAGACAACAGTATTTCACACAGGGATGAATAAGATATTTGTAGTGGTAGAGAATGGAATCAGGAGTAAGAAAATAGCACAACAAAGAGAATCAACCTTAGCAGATGCTTATTTAGCAATCTATTGTATATATGGTTTCCATGAAAGTATTAAATGATAATCCAAGAAGACATAAAGAAGAAGACTCAGGGATAGAATCTTGAGGTACCTCAGAAGTTACTGGAAATAAAGAAGAGTGTTGGTCTTCGAAGATGACTTCAATAAAGCAGTTAGAAAGAAACAATTTGATTATCTTAAAAACTTTCCCAGATACACCATATGAAACAAGCTTATAGAGAAGACCAGCATACTTAACTTGTCGAAAGCTTTAGATATGTCAAGAACAATAGCCATAGCCTCTCTGCCTCTATCTAAATCACAATAAAATCTTTGAGTCACAGTAGTTTGCCAGTCAGCAATAGAGCAAGAGAATCGAAAGCTGTATTGATTATCTGACAGTAAGTTATTTGAGTCAAGATGGGATGTGAGAAATTTGTTTATCAAAGACTCAAAGACCTTGCTAATAACAGAAAAAAGACTGATCGGATGTTAATTGGGAGGTCAGAATGTTCACCTGTGTTTTTGAAAATTGGAACAACAGATGCCATCCAGCAGGCAGGAAAAT